TTTTTCAATAAAAATGGAAAATGAGTCCAAAGGATGCTCATTTCATGAAAATGTGTGAGCATGCACGCAAATATAATATATATATTTACATGTGTTCCAATGGCCTACGACCTCAACGAACGCTAAATACAAAATATCACATGTCAAACCTCAAAACTTGAAAATTTTCCTTAATAAACAAAATATAAACCAAAAGAATATAAGTGAAGGCAAAAGACGTTTTGGCCCTTGGGCACATGTCATACATATTAAATGGGTCCTCATGGGTGTGCTTCGGCACACTTTACATAATCCGAATTGAAAATGACATACTAAAACCCCTAATCTTATAATATTTCCAAATAAAGCATGAAAGAGAAATGGCATACATGTGATCCAAAGGTTCTTGTCCCTTGGCTTCATTACATACACATCAAGTGAGTTTTAAAAGGTGCACTTAAGTGAACGTTACATAGTTCAAATAAAAGATACAAGTTTGAGCATATTAAACCAAAATAATACAAAAACATACTAACAAATGCATGTAACAAACACACCAAAATGCTCCAAGCTACTAAACAAGTCTAAGGATGTTGTGCATCCCAAAATAGAGTTTCCATACCTAAAAAAGATCCCAAACAAGTAGGTTGAGTAAACAAGTTACTTATAGGAAATGAACATGCGTATAACCTAAAGTTTTAATCGTTTTGCAAGTTTAGTATAAATCGATCCATGTGATTCATGCCACCTAACGTCTATATCCAAGGTGAGACTAAGGGAGCATCCTAAACTACCTTAAAGCATTTTTAGCATAAACCACAATATTCATGCAATTTAACAAAATTAGAGAACCAAAAACACAATGACTAGTAACAAGTCCATGATACTATCAACTTGAACTTAAAGTACGAAATTAACAAGTTACATCTATTTAGTGATATTAACTTGGAATTTAAGTACGAAGGCAACAAGAAACAACAATTTACATCTATTTAGTGATATCAACTTAAAATTTAAGTATGAAGTTAACATGAAACAAGTTACAATTTCATATAGTTATCAACTTAAAACGAAAATACGAAATCAAACAAAGATGGATACTTGGACATCAATCGGGTCAAATCGACACGTGGTTACTTTAGGGTTACTAGCCCACGGGTACCCTCCCTATGTACACACTAGACTGTAGGGGGTTCTCATATCCCCCGTACTAGAGCCTTACTCTAGCTATAGTCATAATAACGACATCCCAAGTTTCCAAAATCAACAAGTTGTGCAACAACGTATATATAAAGCAATAAGCTATTTACCATGCACAACCAAATTTTAGACATAACAATAAATGCTCTAAGTCTTCAGCTACAATGGCATGAAAGATGTCGAATCTTCAATGTGCGATTCGTTACACATAACAACAATATTATTCAATATTGAAAATATACTCATATGAATATACAATAAGTCCAAACCCATTATTTAAAGATAGAAACAACTTCTAAAACATGATTAAATCAATGGAACAATTAGATAGAATTTAATTAAATAAAATAATTAAATTCTCTAGATTTCAAAATAACTCTTAATGACTTCAAATTCATAATGTATATTTAATACAACCTATAACTAAAATATTATTACATAAAACCCACTTATGTAAATTTACAATAAGTTCAAAATTCATGATTTAAATATTCAAACAACATCAAATACATGATTAAATCATTAATACAATAAAATGAAAATTAATTAAATAAAATAATTAATTTCTTTAGATTGCAAATCTACTCTAATTGACTTCAAATAATTATATATTAAAGATCATGGTCATTACATATATCAAACCAAATAACTAATTAAATCAATGGAATCATTAAATAAAAATTAATTAATTAATTTAATTAAAATATCTAAATTTCAAAACTCATCTAAATGATTCCAAATTAATATATATCAAAGATCAAGTCATGGCCTAATTTAATAACATGTCTTAAGTTAATTCCATACAAGTTACAACTATTTAACTTAAATTTCATAAACTATATAAAATTCTAGATTTTATCTAAAGACATGCATACAACTTATATAAACCCCAAAAACACATGAAAACATCTCTTACCTCAATTTGAGATGAATACCTCAAATAACACCAAAATGAAACATCTCTGAATTCAACGAAATTTCGAGGTTACGATGGGGACAACGAGGGAAACAACAAACCTTTTTGCGGCAACACTCAAATCCAAACCCGAACTCAAATCCTAACCTAAAAAATGGTCAAAACTGGATTCTAAAAGAATGGAAATGAAGGCCTCGTCAAGGCCGATGATAAAGCCTTCATCGATGAAGGAAGAATCAAAGGAAAAACGAGGTCAAATGGAGTAAAAAAAAGGAGAAGGAAGAAGAAAAACCAAGGGGCAGCAGCCATGGGAGGGGGAGAGAAAATCTGATGTTTTCTCTCTCCTACCCCCTATTTATAGTACTTCTAAAAAGTGCCCTAAACGGGCTCGCGCGGCCCCAAAATGTGAAAATTGCGTAAACACGCTCAAACGGGAAAAGTCCGTGAACGAAAAAGAACCGACGTAAGAAAAAATGAACAATGGAAGAAACGACATCAAAAACCGAGTCCCGATCAGAAAGATATGCTCTGAATAAGTTTGGTGGCAACCGGGGTCAAAAACCCTAAAACTGGGAAAAATGACCAAAAGGCAAATCTAAGAGTACGCGATTCAACGAAAAGTGAAAATGAATTCCGTACTAGGATCCTAGCCCAAAACAGGACACTTGGCATTAATTTTTGTTAATTACACAAAAGGCCCCTCTACAAAAGGATAACTGCACAAATGACCCAAAATGAAAATATCTTTCAAAAGATACTTTCTTAAAATTGAAATAAAATATCTTCAAAAGATATTTATGAAAAATACCCCAAGAAAAGAAAGTATTTTCCAAGAAACTCTGCATACATACCCCTACGCACGCAGTGAACAACTAGCGTACTTTTCTACAAAAGTAAAAATACGTATTTCATAGAAACCATAAGGAATGAAGATACGTGAAGTCGAAAATCAAATCCAAGCACAAACCATGAGGTTACGCGAAAGGAAATGATAAACGGGAAAAAGACGAAAAGGAAAAATATCGAAAAATGTGAGGAGATAACACAGTCCTTACAAAACAAAACAAAATCTCAAAAAGGAAGAGTGTTGGAGACTATTCCAAAGCACTCAAGACAACCCGAAGAGACAAACTCGAACTCAGAAATGAAAACATCAACGGAAAAAATATATATATCCATAAAAATAGGGAAAATAAAATGAAGGAAAATGACAAGATCATTACAAGAGTGGTATTCATACATATGATAAAATAAAAGTAAATTTTTTTTGACTTGGTGATGACAATGTTATGTTGAGGAGGTTGCGTGAATCACCACCGTTAAATGCTCACTTCACCTCGTCCAGTGAAAGAGTAACTGGAGAAGATTTTTTTCCAAACGGACATAGTAAAGAGGGAAAATTTAAGCACGGGAAAGATAGAAAATATTGTATGTTCTTTCATAACCTGAAAAAGAGACCAAAATCACTCATTTATAACTCTTTTAAGTTCTATTTTGTCTAGTTTTGTTTGAGTCACATACCAAATTCCTTCTTGAATGACCTAAGTAGGGCTGCAAGTTGGGTTGGCCCAACCCAGCCCAGTACCAATCTAATCTCAAACCAAAATTGGGTTGGGTTGGGCAGCTCAAATTTTACCTAAAATGAGTTATGTTCATAACTCAATCCAAATATTTTGGACGGATCAAACGGATTTTACGAGTCAATTTTTATTTATATAAATTATTTTTTATTGAGACATCTAGATCTTGACCCATAAATACGGGTTTCAGGGGGTCAGGTTTAAGGGATGTTTGTGGATTAAAGGTTGAAATATTTCTTCCATCTCCGTGTTTGCCTGTGTGAAGTATATATGCTTCTTTGCAACACGTAAATCCTTATGCTAAGGGCGGGGGCATGAGAGTTTTGTTTTTATTTTTTTTTGAGACATCTAGATCTTGATCCATAAATACGGAGTCTTTTGTTTAGTGAGGAGCTTTTTAAAAAAAATTAATTTGGACCAAACAAGACAGGAAAAGAAAATAAATTATTAAGATTCTTTAGACGTCACCATAATAATATAGTAGCACAAGTTGTTCTGTTATTAACTTATTATATACAAATTTGCTGTCTTCACTTTGAAAATCATAGCTGTCTGGCCAATAAATTTTTTATTAAAATAATAATCTACAAGTCCTCAATCAAATTTTGATCTCATGTTTACTTAATTAACTACGCAGTAATGTTTGTTATTTTTTATCAGTTGGGCCGGCAATTGTTTTTTAGTCTCTCTTTCTTCTCCTCTCTCTTTCCTCTCTCTCTCTCTCTCTTCCTTCATTTTTTTCTTCTTACGGGCAGAGAGATAGAGAAGAGGGAGGATCCACCACTGCATCAGCCAAAAAAAATGAAAGGGAAAAAGAAAAGAAATAAGGGAAAAAGAAAAGATGAGAGAGAAAGAGAAAGAAGAGATGGGAGAGAGAATGGAGGCCCAAAAAAAATAAAAAAATAAAAAATTCTGAATTGGGTTTGGATTTGGATTTGAGTTGGGCTGAGTTAGTCCATCTAAATTACACTTTTCTACCTAAGACAAGCATTGTGCAATTTTAAATGATTATTCATTCGCCCTCAAAATAAGTATCCACCTTTTCATTTTTTTGTTCCAAACTAATGCTTATCTAAAATAAAATATCTACATTTTTATTTTTTGCTATCTCAAAATAAATGCCTCATCTAAAAAACCAAACTATTATTAGTGTTATTTTTTCAACATTATCAATTTAATTTTATTGCATTAAACTATAACATCTATGTCACCTACTATATATATACAAAATTGATAATTCATTCATTATTAATATAATAAAAAAATTCTAAAATTAATAATTTTTTAATTAATATTTATTACACCTCTTATCTCAAAGTAAATGTCATATTTTTTGTTCATGAGTCCAGAGTCCAGGTGGAGTCCAGGTGTTTCGAGAACAGGAGGAGTATTATTTTTAGTTTAATACCAATTTAAACTAAAAATTTCAATTTAATCACTAAAAGTTAATTTTCTTAATATAAACTTATCTTAACTACCGAAAAAAAAAAGTCCGCGCTTTCTTCGAATACGAGGAAAGAAAAAAAGAAAATGTTGTTCTTTATCACTTGACCAGGAACGCTCTCTCTCTCTCTCTCTCCCACAGTCGAAAATGGCAGAAGATGCCTGGAGTGAAGAAGCCTCTTTAGGTGTGTCGAATAATAGTTCACTTTCACGAACTTACGACATCTTCTTGTCTTTCAGGGGCAAAGATACTCGCCTTTTCTGTATCGATTTCCTATACTATGCTCTGGTGGAGCAAGGGTTTTCCACATTCTTGGACGACAATGAACTCAAGAAAGGAGAAGCGATTAAGCCCGGATTGATGAAATCGATCGAGGAATCAAGGATCTCCATCGTCGTATTCTCGGAAAACTACGGGTTCTCAAGATGGTGCCTCGATGAGCTTGTGAAGATCATGGAGTGCAGGAGGAATTTGGGACAGATTGTTCTTCCTCTTTTTTATCTAGTAGATCCGGCCGATCTGCGGTGGCAGAGGGGGAAATACGCTGAAGCATTTGCCAAGCACCAACCGCGTTACGGAGACGACCAGATTCAGAGGTGGAGAGCTGCTTTGACTGAGGTTGCCGATTTGTCGGGTTGGACCTTTCAAAATGGGTACTTTTTTTAGCCTGTCAATTAATCTAGAATTACTGATTATTTCCTCAAAATTTCAATCTGTGAATTTCACATATTCCCTATTAAATTTGGATACTCGTATGATTTTCAAGATTTTATCACCAATTCATTTTCCTTATCCAGTGTGGGTTACTGGGAGGAATAATTGCAATCATATTTATTTTCTACAAGAAGTTTTCTACACAAAATACGGTTTTGTTTTTAAAATTCACAAATTTGATAAAAAGTCGAGTTTTACCAAATATCTTGTTTCTTTAGCTATGATGGAATCACTTAGCATTAAGTTGGTGCAAAAATTGCAAGACTCATTCATTTTTCACTGCTCTATCAAACTTTACTAAATGCTTATTTTTTATTTCTTATTTTTAAAATGAATTCTGAATTGAGGGAGAAAAATTTGCAGCCGTTTGTCAGATCTAATTCGAAGCATCAATAAAGTGATCACAAAGATATTAGATCCTTCGTCTTTAAATGTTGCGGAATATCCAGTTGGAATAGAGCCCCGTGCTGCAAAAGTCGGGGAGGTGCTAAACTTGGCGCCAGATGATGTTCGAATTGTTGCAATCTGGGGGATGGGCGGAATAGGCAAGACTGCAATTGCTAAAGCTGTATATAATTTTATGCATCGTAAGTTTAAGAGCAGTTGCTTTCTTCTAAATGTTGGAGCAACTTGGAACCAACTCAACGGCGATGTTGATTTACAAAAATTGCTTCTTTCTGATATCCTACCCGATGCAAAGCAAAGCATAACAAATTCTGCTCGTGGAATTGAGGTAATAAAACGCCGAGCATGGTGTCAAAGGGTTCTTCTTGTCCTCGATGACGTGGATAACGTGGAACAATTGAGTACATTAGTCATAAATCGTGATTTACTACATTCTGGAAGTAGGGTCATTATAACTACTAGGAATTTGTCTTCAATAAGTTCACTTCAACTTCAAGAGAATGAGGTGTATACACCCGAGGAGTTGAATAAGGAGGAGTCTCTTAAACTCTTCAGTTGGCATGCTTTCAAGGAAGAAGGTCCTTCAGAAGACAGTAAGATGCTCTCAGCGGGAGTGGTGGGTTATGCTAAGGGGATTCCTTTAGTTCTTAAAGTTTTAGGTTCCTTCTTTAGGGACTTAACCAAATCTCAATGGATAAGTGGATTGGAGGAGTTAGAGAAAATTCCCCATGATGACGTCCAATTGGTACTTAAGCTAAGCTATGATAAACTTAATCCTCAACAGCGTGGCTTATTCTTAGACATTGCATGTTTTTTTGTAAGAATGAACAAAGATTTGGCAATCAAAATTCTAGAAGGCCGTGGCTTCAACCCAAATTCTAATATCGAAGTTCTAGTTCGTCGTGCTCTTTTACAAATTGATTCAGATAATCGGCTGATGATGCATGATCGAATTCGGGATATGGGTAGAGAAATTGTCCGCCAAGAATCTGATCAAGAGCCTGGAGAACGTACCAGATTGTGGAATCCGGAGGAGGTTCTTGATGTACTGGAAAATAACAGAGTAAGAGCCAAATGCATTAATTATTTGGTTAATATGGGAGGTTTTGTTCACCGTAAGAATGCACTCGCATACAACACAATACTGAAATCTCACAATTAAGGGATGTGATCCTAGTTTCTTACACAATGATTTTCTCACCAATATGATGTCTCTCTATTTACATATTTATATAATTTCTTGTGCATCTCATTGTATCATCAGGGAACAACAAGAGTTGAAGGCTTGGTCCTAAACTCGCCAAAATCAGATGTGCAACAATTGGATGCAAATGCATTTGCACGGATGAACAGACTGAGACTGCTTCGTATTAATTATGTTCGCCTAAATGGGAGCGCAGAACATCTATCCGGAAGACTAGTGTGGCTGTGTTGGAACGGTTTCCCTTTGAATCATATACCATCGACCCTGCTTATGGGTAACATGGCTGCTATTGACTTGAGCTATAGCAGCCTCAAAGTTGTTTGGAAAGAAACTAAGGTATGAAACTGTTTTCTCTCTTTTAAATTCATCACATTGAAATTTATTTCTGTTCTCTGTTTCTGACAGGTTCTGAATAAATTGAAATGCCTCAATCTCAGTCATTCCTATTCCCTGACCAAAACCCCAGACTTCACTGGACTCACCAGTCTTGAAACATTGTTGCTTAATGATTGCACAAAGTTGCGAGATGTTCACCATTCTATTGGATGTCTACAAAATCTTGTTGTTTTGAACATGAAGAATTGTCAAAATCTTCGCAAGCTTCCGGAAAGTGTATTCACGTTGAAATCTGTCATCTATCTTGATCTCTCTGGCTGCTTGAAATTAGCAGTGCCAACATATAGATCATGGTATTCAATCATCCTGTCTTTGGTACCACCAGCAGGAATTTTGGATTTCAGTGGGATGTTGCCGGCTTCTATACATGGATTAAGTTCCATTTCAAAACTATATCTGGAAAACTGCAATGTATGTTATGTGCCCGGTGAAATTGGTAGTTGTGTCTCCTTGCAATTTTTGAATCTCAGCAGAAATAATTTTGCTAACCTACCAGCAAGCATTACCAACCTTTCTCAACTGAAGGTCCTCTATCTAAACCAATGTACTGAGCTTCAAATTCTTCCAGGTCTTCCAATAAAGTTAAAGGGATTGAGTGCAAACTACTGCACATCGTTGAAAATGATATCAATTGAATCAAAAATGGATGAAGCCCCATTCATGACTTTTTATGGTTGCCACATACTAGCCGACAATTTTGCAAACGATTTTAAAAAAAATCTACTCCAGTACCAGGTACTCTCTCTCTCTCTCTCTCTCTCTGTGTATATATATATATATATATGCACACAAATAATTAGTAAAAAACGATAGTTAGTTAAGGGGCCATTATTTTGAACCATAACATTCATCCCATTAATAACTCAGTTGTTATTACCAACGAGTCTATGATTTTTTATTGCTAAATTTTAGAAAAGCAATTCGTTTTGTAGTTTGTACTCATGACAGAAGATTGATTGAACAGGGACGCCCAGAGCAAGGCGATTTTAGTATTTTTCTTCCTGGAAATGAGGTTCCAAATTGGTGCAACTACCAGTGTGTGGGATCATTTCTATCTTTTCTTGTGCCTCCGCTGGTGGATAGGAAGATACAAGGGTGGATTTTATGTGTTGTCTTTGCTGGCCGTTGCGATGACGATGACGACATGTTTGCTATTTCTTATGGTATTTACAATAAAACCATGGGCACTAAGATGTATTACCAACCAACAGTTGATGGCTATCCTTTGAAGTGTGAAGATCAGATGTGGCTCAACTATGTGCCGCACCGGTATCTTGAATCAGAGTGGAAGGAACTTGAATCTCCACTGGGAGGTGGTGACAGAGTGGAGATGACAATAAGAATAGACAAGCGGCGGCAGGTGAAGAAGTGTGGGGTTAGTCTCATCTACGAGGGGAATAATGAGGACACCTTGCCTTCCAATGATCTACCGGAGGAGATGGACTCTCTCACGAGGCTTGTATCGGATGAATCATTTCTTTATGAGATTGGAGTGTTAAAATCCAAGAAGAGGGGCTCGCGTGTGAAGTTGGGCTTTCCAATTGCGAAAGGCCCGAAGCAATTTGAGCAATGAGGACAACCACTTAAGTCTGTACATATAATGTCAAGGTTTGTGTCAATTTAATCTATCCATTCCACTAATCCATTATAAAGATTTTGTCTGTGATATCCTGAATTTTAATGTAGTTCTTTAGTAAATAACATGGGTTAAGGTTTACCTACTTACGAGTATATTTTGATGGTGTAATAGAGTAATCTTGTGAGTTCAAACTTGTTATCGTCTTAGAAAATAGATATTAATTGGGTTTGAAATATAGCAATGCATAAAGTTGTGATAGAAAGTACAATTGTAGTTGATGGTGATTAGATTGGAATGCATTTTATGGTGACATGTCTTGGGGAGGAAAAAGAAAGTGTGATACACGCCATGCCTAAATGGAGGATCCCCACATGCCACCTACGGTATTTTCACTATTAATAGTAGTAGTAAAGCTTCTTAAGGAAGCTTTCTTTAGATACATTCGAGTAACTACTGCATGTATATATGTATGCATTGTAGTGCCTACTTAATTACATAGATGACAAGTGTTGAGTGAATGCTTACTTTATATATATATATATATATATATATACACACACACACAATAAGTAGTATTGGTTTTAGTTTGCTGGAAAGCTTTTGCTAAACGAAACGACTTGGGTCTTAGCTTCTATATGGATAGCGCATATATAAGTAAATTTAGCTAGATGGTAGTAGAAGCTAAGGAGAGGAACGAAAGATAAGGAGAAAGAAAGAGAGAGAGATGGGTGGTGAAACAAGGAGAGGGGTTCCGAGGGCCATACAATGAAAAATCTGAACTGAGAACAGCCTTTCAAAAAAAAAAAAATTCTGAACTGAACGTGGGATTGGAGCTGAAATTAGTATACTTTGATTTGTTAGATTTATCTGATATTTTGAGGTTATTAATTGCACTAGTTAATTATTTCATGGGCTTTAAATTGACTTAAAAATGTTGAGAATTGAAGTTGATGCTAATTTTTGAAAAATTAAAATAAACTGCTGTAGAACCGAATTCTTGAACAGAATTTTATTCATTGTTTTCTTTGTTATTTGGCCTGATTGTGTGGATATTTTATACAATTAATTAATGATTTAAATATTGTAAGTTAGCTTTCAAATTACTTTAGTTTCATGTAATTTGAGTTGGTATTTTATTTTCTACGAATTCTTAAAGACGAATCATTCTTGCTGCAACTCCTTGGAACAACAGTATATTTGTGTAATTTTAAATCACCTATTGTTGGATTTTGAGAGTAGAATTTTGGGAGATGAAAATATACGTATCATATTTTCTTTAGAAATTTATTTCATCATTTCATATGAAGTACATGACTTGTTAGTGAATTTTTTAGCATGTGCTTATGGATGTGGTTGGAAAACAGTTTGTTCAACAAAAAAAAAATGGTATCCGGTTATCTACTTTGGTATTTGGTTCTGGTTGTATGTGCCGGATATGAAATGGGTAGGATAAGAACTTCCATTGGGTTGAAAGACCTTAAACATGCTGGGTTTAACGTTGGGGTGTTCACGGTCCAAGGTTCAGGCCCCTTAAACCAAAGGACCGGGGCGGTATTCCCCCGGGGGTAGGTTCCTAAAGACGCATAGGGCACACGTGTTAGACCAATTGCTGTATTGATGACGTTCTCTAATTTGTTATTATGGAATGGATTACTTGAGTATCGTTTTTATGAGTTCAAATCAGTGAATTGAAATTGGAAGTTTAAATATTATGTCTATTATTATTTTTTCTAATAAATTTCAACTGCTAAATCTCAAATGTTCGGTTCACATTTTAAAAGTGCTAACATTACTATTTTCCTGAAATTTGTGAAGGAGACTCATTTCTTTGGAAAGACTACTTGTTTTTCGAACAAATGTTGGGAACCATTTTGGGGATTGTGTTACTCACCCTATTTTTTTTATAAAACATTTTCAGGCATTAGAAGAGGTTAGCAAGCTATGGATAACTATAAGGCAGCCATGAAGTAATTGGAAATTTTAGTAAGCAGGTTTGAGCTCATTATTTATTCTTTAAGGTTGTCTAAGCTTTATTTGAAAAATGGATCTTATTGATGGGTTATGTTATGCGAACTTGAATTTTAATTTATTTTTGAAACCATATAGAAATGGATTTGAGTGTTGGATCAACAACTTATGGTTTGAGTAAATAATTTTTTTTTGGTGATTTCTATGAATTGTGATTAGCTCGGGCACGCCCGTAAGTTGTTGATGTGTGTTGTAAGATACGATGCATTTTTTATTCATGTTTGATAATCTTGAATGGTAGATGAGCACAAGCTTTAGTGCATATGGTATCACGATCTTTATGATTTTTTCAAGTTCCATTGTCGGCATTATCCAACTTTTAAGATCTGATGTACTCTGTATTTTGGTATGTAACACCCTTGCCTTTGAAAGAAAAATGTATGTACATCTATATACACAGACTCTCAAAGGCAAGAATATATGTACGCATTTTTTTCAAGTTATGGAGTCTTTCAAAGCTAACTGATAAACTTCAGCAGGACAATCATTTTTTCTTCCTTTTTTTTCTTAGTTATACTCAAGCACACATGCCTCCACCGAGACTCGAATTTCTGACCTCCCTTTGAGAGGTAGGAGCTTGGTACTCACGTTAGTCCCCATATGATGCTTGCTTTCACAAGGTCACCTAGCCTTTTGGGGAGAGAACATTTCCCCTATGCCACCTTGGTGCCAATTTTCTTGAGAGTAGGTCCAAACCAGAGAAAAGCTCTGAAGATGTAGTTCAACTAGGGTTTGACATATGCAGGAAGGTATTTGGGAGTTCCACTTATCACATCTATGTTGAAAGCCAATGATTGTAGCACCTTGATTGATAGGGTTACCTCTAGGATTCCCCACTGGACCAGTAGGGACTTATCTTTTGTAGGTAGAATGCAACTCATAGAGCAGTCCTCTTCCCCGCCCAAATGTATTGGAGCTCAAAAGTTTATTCTCCAAAGTTTATTCTCCCTGTTAGCATCATCAATGAGTTGAACTACATCTTTAGAGTATTCAATCAAAGCCAATGATTGAATACTTTCCTTTATATTTATGAATAATAAATAAACTATTTCAAGTATATTTGAATTTTTCAATTCATATTTTTTCAAAAAAATAATAATAATAATAAATAAATCACAAGCACAAACAACAAAGCTCAATAAAATTGGGAGACTGATATTATCTTAAATAAAGGGCATCAAATAATTTTAACATATCAAACTAATAAACTAATAAATAAATACATCATTTTTTCAAAATAAGTGTCCTTTTTTAAAATCTAACTTTTTAAATTATATTTTTTATTATAATTTATTTATTATATTAGTAGTGGGCCCACAGTGATGTGATGATTCCCTCCCTCCCTATGTCTCAAAATTCTTGGATGTTTAGGAAATCTAACTTTTTATTTTTATTTTTATTTTTATTTTTTATAGTGAGTTTTTATTATTTATTTATTATATTGGTAAGAATGAATTTTCAAATTTATCCTTACTGAAAGACAGAATAATACTCCATAATTAGTGCACTCTTTTAATCAAGTTAATGTCACAATGGTAATTTGGGAATGTTAAAAATATATAACATTGAATGAGATATGTATTTTAGGATATTCCAAAATAGATATATGGATAAAAATTTTGAGACGATGGCAATACTTTTTATAGGTTAAATTGATAATATTTATAAAAAATAGTATATTGACTTTTCAAATGAGAAATTTATTTTGTGACAAATAAAAATAGAAAAATAAATTGTGGGTACACATAAATTTAAAAGGATAAGTTACACTCACATCCCTAATATTTGTTTTAATGATTGTCATATACAAGTTAATCTCTTTTTTTTACAAAGACAATAGTGACTCTGACTTATGAATTAACCTATTTAAAACATAAAATTATCTTTTTAACCTTCCATTAAATCTCAAACCTAGATCAGCATGTATGTATTTGACTAATCATCAAACCTCTTTTGCGCAACTGTTTGAACTAAAATTACCTGCTTTTACATGTGTAATTTTTAATTTATTATATTACACTTGTTTATTAAACGGTTAAATTTAGGTTAAGGGTGTTTAACCCTTTCCATAAAATGATTGTACTCCGTTCAAGTCATATAACAAAAACTAGAAGCATAATTTAGCAAAAAATATCTTATGGTGGGGATTGGGAATAAATCAACGGAGCCGCAACAGACAATATTAAGGACAAGATAGTCTTTCTGCTTCCTCTAACCGACACATTTTGACACAACAATACAACATGAATAATACTACTTGTTAACCTAAATTATGTTTAACAATTTATTTACTTATCCATAAAATGATTGTACTCCGTTCAACTCATATAACAAAAACTAGAAGCAGAATTTAGCAAAAAATATCTTATGGTGGGGAGTGGGAATAAATCAGGGGAGCCGCAGTAGACAATATTAAGGGCAAGAGAGTCTTTCTCTTCCTCTAACAAACACATTTTGACACAACAATACAACATGAATAATAGTACTTGTTAACCTAAATTGTCACTCCTAAATGGATAGCTAACTTCCCTAGATGCTAGCGCTCATCAATCAATTCCTCCCTCCCTGTCCATCCATTTTCTCATCCTTCTACCAAATAGAGTTTAGAATTGCCCGATTTAAAGGAATTCAACATATTGACAAGGGAACTATAAATGACAACTAAATGTAGCACACAAATAAATTAGACTCAAATGTTGAAATACAATTAGTCATAGTAGGTAACGAAAAATGTTTTAACTAACTAGGAAAAATCACAATCAAGTTTTATCCTACTTGCAAATTGCTTTGATCCAAAAAGAAAAACATAAGAGCATTAGATTCCGGATAAAACAGATCTCAATAATAAGTTAATACATACATCTGTAAAAATCAGATACAGGGAAGTGATTAGTTGCATGAGCATGTAAAATTGCTGTAAAAATCGTTAGATGAGCGATAAGTTTGAACTCAGATATTGAAAAGTGATGAGATGTAGTGCATCTGGTGGACTTAGTGTAAAGACACACTCATTTAATATTGATAAAAGGTGGTTTCGTCTTTTAAAATAATTGATATTTTAAACAAAAAATAAATATTCTATTGAAGGAGAGACAAAACATTTTACACTATATTAAGAGAGTACCACTATAATTTATTCAATTTAAAATTATCAAAAATTATTAATTACCAAAAAAAAAAAACATAGTCAACACATTCCGACAAAAATAGTCGGCACTTTCTTGGAAATTTCGAATATGAGGAAAGAAAAAGGAAAGGTGGTTGTAATTTACCACTTCACCTGTAATCCTCCTTTCTCTCGGGAGATTCAGAAGCCCAATATATCTGTCGATTTGATCTAGTAGTAGTATTTTAGTTTCGAAAATGGCAGATGGTTCCTGGAGTGAAGAAACCCCTTTTGTTTCACGGACTTACGACGTCTTCTTGTCTTTCAGGGGAGAAGATACTCGCCGGTCCTTCACCCACTTCCTATACAACGCTTTGGTGGAGCGTGGGTTTTCAACATTCATGGACGACAATGAACTCGAACAAGGAGAAGGGATTGGGTCCGGATTGCTGAAAGCGATCGAGGAATCCAGGGTCTCCGTCGTCGTATTGTCGGAAAACTACGCGTCTTCAAGATGGTGCCTCGATGAGCTCGTGAAGATCATGGAGTGCAGGAGGACCTTGGGACAGGATGTTCTTCCTGTTTTTTACGGCGCAGATCCGTCCGACGTGCGGCGGCAGAGGGGAGTTTACGCTGAAGCATTTGCCAGGCACCAACAGCGTTTCGAAGACGACCAGATTCAGAGGTGGAGAGCTGCTTTGACTGAGGTTGCCGATTTGTCGGGTTGGATCTTTCAAAATGGGTACTTTTTTTTAGACTGTCAATTAATTTAGAATTACTGATTATTTCCTCAAATTTAGAGTATTAAAATCTGTGAATTTCACATATTCTCGATTAAATCCTCAACTAATTTAGTTTTTACTGATTCAAATTCCTCAAATTTGGAGTATTTGAATCTTTGAGTTTCACATTCTATTTTCTATTAAATTCTTACCACTAATTCGTACAAATTATTTCAAGGGGCAAAAAGAAAACATTTAATGGCCATTTAATTTTTCATTTTCTTAATCTAATCAATAATAACCTTCTTCAACATTGGACTTTTTAAGACAATACACCATGATTTTTATGTCTGATGTAATAAACTAAGATGGCATGTTTACAGCAATTAGCATGACTTATTTACTTCACTGATCTGTCAATCTTAGTAATTTCTAATTTTCTTTTTTTATTGATAAATGCTTAGCTTATATCCAGTGTTAGTTGCCGGGAGGAATGATGGCAATTATTTTTATTTTCTTCAACAATTTTCCTGAATAAACCTAGTAGAACAAAATACAATTTATTTATTCAAATTAACATCTACAAGCACCACTTTCTGAAATTTCTTCATATTCAAATTTAAGGTTTTAATCAGTATCCAGATTCACAAATTTTATAAAAACTCAAATTTACCAAATATCTTGTTTCTTTAACAGTTAGCTATGATGGAATCACTTCTCATCACAGGTCCATCAAACTTTAGTAAATGCTCATTATTTTTTTCTAATGAAAAAGAAGAATTCTAAATTGTGGGAGGAAAATTTGCAGGTTTGAATCGAAGTTTATTCGACTTATCATTAATGAGGTCGCACGTATAGTATATGGTGCATCTGTAAATGTTCCAGTCTATCTAGTTGGAATAAATTCCCGTGTTGAAAGACTCAAGGAGCTGCTAATCTTGGGGTCAGACGATGTTCGAATTGTTGCAATCCAGGGGATGGGCGGAATAGGCAAGACTGTAATTGCTAAAGCTGTATATAATCTTATACATCATAAGTTTGACCGCAGTTGCTTTCTTCCAAATGTTAGAGATACTTGGAACCAATACAACGGCCCTGTCGAATTACAAAAAATGCTTCTTTCTGATATCCTACTTGATAAAAAGCAAAGCATTAGAGATTCAAGTCATGGAATTGAGGTAATAAAACAGCAAGCATGGTGTCGAAGGGTTCTTCTTGTCCTCGATGACGTGGATCATGTGGAACAATTGAGGACATTAGCCATAAATCGTGATTTACTACATTCTGGAAGTAGGATCATTATAACAACTAGGGATTTGAATTCAATAAGTTCGGTTCAAGTGAGTGAGGTGTATACACCCGAGGAGTTGAATGAGGAGGAGTCTCTTAAACTCTTCAGTTGGCATGCTTTCAAGAAAGACCATCCTCTAGAAGGCTATGAGATTCTCTCATCCGAATTGGTGGATTATGCTCAGCGGATTCCTTTAGCTCTTATAGTTTTAGGCTCCTTCTTTTTGGGCAAAACCATACCTGAATGGGTAAGTCGCTTGGAGAAGTTAAAGAAAGTTCCTGATGATGAAATCCAAGGAAGACTTAAGATAAGCTTTGATGCACTTGATTCTGAAGAAAAGGCCTTATTCTTAGATATTGCATGTTTTTTTGTTGGAATGAATGTAGATTTGGCAATCACAATACTAGAAGGTTGTGGTTTCTTCCCAGAAATTACTATTGGAGTTCTAGTCCATCGTTCTCTTTTAAAAATTGATTCAGATAACCGGCTGATGATGCATGATCTGATTCAGGATCTTGGTAGAGAAATTGTCCGCCAAGAATCTGTTCATGAACCTGGAAAACGTAGCAGATTGTGGGACCAGAAGGATGTTCTTCATGTACTGAAAAATAACATGGTAAGAGCCAAATGGCCCAAATGCATTAATTATTTTGTTAATATGGGATGTTTTGTTCACTGAAAGAATGCCACCGCATATGACACAACACTGAAGTCTCACAATTAAGGGACGTGATCTAGTTTCATACACAATGGTTTACTGACCAATGTGATCTCTTTCTATTTACACACACTCTCACACATATAGATACATATTTATATAATTTCTTGTGCATCTCCTTGTATCATCAGGGAACAACGAGAGTTGAAGGCTTGGTCCTAAACTTGTCAAATTCAAATGAGCTACAAGTGGATGCAAATGCATTTGCACATATGAACAGACTGAGACTGCTTCATCTCAATTATGTCCACGTAGTTGGGAGCCTAGAACATATCTCCAGAAGATTAGTATGGCTGTGTTGGAAAGGTTTCCCTTTGAATTGTATACCATCTACCCTCTTTATGGGTAACATGGCTGCTATTGACTTGAGCTATAGCAGACTCAAAGTAGTTTGGAGAGAAATTAAGGTATGAAACTGTTTTGCTTTCTTTCAAACTCATCACATTGAAATTTAGAAATTTATTTTTCTATTCTCGGTTTCTGACAGGTTCTGTATAAGTTGAAATACCTCGATCTCAGTCATTCCTATTTCCTGACCAAAACCCCGGACTTCACTGGACTCACCAGTCTTGAAATATTATTGCTTAATGATTGTACAGAGTTGCTAGAGGTTCACCATTCTATTGGATGTCTACAAAATCTTCTTATCTTGAATATGAAGAATTGCCAAAATCTTCACAAGCTTCCAGAAAGTGTATTCATGTTGAAATCTCTCATCTGTGTTGATCTCTCTGGCTGCTTCAAATTAGGCATGCCAGCAGATAGATCATTGTATTCAATCATCCTGTCTTTGGTATCACCAGCAGGACATCCGGATTTCAGTGGGATGTTGCCAGCTTCTATACAGGGACTAAGTTCCATTTCAAAACTATATCTGGAAAACTGCAATATATGTTATGTGCCTGGTGAAATCGGTAGTTTGGTCTCCTTGCAATTTTTGAATCTTAGCAGAAACAATTTTGCTAGCCTACCAGCTAACATTACCAGCCTTCCTCAACTGAAGGTCCTCTATCTAAACCAATGTACTGAGCTTCTTTCACTTCCAGCTCTTCCAAGAAAGTTAAAGGGATTGAGTGCAAACTACTGCACATCATTGAAATGGATATCAATAGAATCAAGAATGGATGAAGCCCCATTCATGACTTTTTATGGTTGCCCCAAGTTAGTTGACAACCTTGCCAATGTTTTTAGAAAAATTCTACTCAAGTACCAGGTACACACTCGCTTTCTCTACACACACATAATTAGTAAAAAGCAATTGTTGTTATGGAGCCATTGTTTTGAATGATATTGCTCATCCATTAACAAGTCAATTGTTATTACCACAAATCTTTTTTATTCCAAAATTTAAGAAAAGCATTTTGCTTTGTATTTTGCACTCATGACACATAATTTGATGGAACAGGGACTCCCGGAACAAGGCGATTTTAGTATTTTTCTTCCTGGAAGTGAGGTTCCGAACTGGTGTAACTACCAGTGTGTGGGATCATTTCTATCTTTTCTGGTGCCTCCGCTGGTGGATAGGAAGATACAAGGGTGGATTTTATGTGTTGTCTTTGCTGGCCGTTGTGACGACGACGACGACGACGACGACGACGACGACGACGACGAGGATGATGATGATGATGATGATGATGATGATAATGATGATGATGACGATGACGATGATTACATGCTTGCTATTTCTTATGGTATTTACAATAAAACTATGGGCACTAAGAAGCGTTACCAACCAACAGTTGATGGCTATCCTGTGACGTGTGAAGATCAGATGTGGCTCAACTATGTGCCTCACCGGTATCTTGAATCCGAGTGGAAGGAACTTGAATCTCCATTGAGAGGTGGTGATGAAGTGGAGATGACAATAAGAATAGACAAGTGGCGGCAGGTGAAGAAGTGTGGGGTTAGTCTCATCTACGAGGGTGATGATGAGGACACCTTGCCTTCCAATGATCAACCAGAGGAGATGGCCTTGCTCACGAGGCTCGTATCGGATGAATCATTTCTTTTTGAGATTGGAATGTTAAGATACAAGAAGAGGGACTAGCATTGGAATTTTGGCTTTCCAATTGCAAAAGGCCTGAAGTGAGTTCAAGCATGAGAACAACCACTTTAGGCTTTAAGTATAAATTATATCCATTCCACTGATCCATTATGAAGATTTTGTTGTAAAATGTTTTTATGAAAGAATTCTGCGATACACCTTTAGAAGAACTGTGTGACTTGGCTTGTAACACGGTAAATTTTTTGTTACCTTTCCTCAAACCAAGTAAATTTTATCCTTTAAATTTTTGATGCAACATGACTCAAGTCATTTAAATGTCTGGTTGTCAATAATTTCTTTTGTGATATGTTTTAGTTCTTCTCTGCATTTTTCTTTTCTGCTTTTAGAATGCAGGGCCATTTTATGAATGGCTTGGAGCAGGGTTAACAAGTGTCAAGATAGAAGGGTTTAACAATGGAATAAAGGATCTGTCAACATGCACTTGGACCTACAAGGCATGCTTTCTCTCTTCCCTTATTTTATTTTTATTTTTATTTTCTTTCTATCTACTTTCTTTGTCCATTTAGTTGCATCCTGTTCTTCTAAAGCATGAAGTTCAATCATAAGAACACACATCTTCTCTATTCTAGTTCAGCATATTGTAACATTTTTTTTTCCTTAGGCTAGTTCAGAATAATAGAATAATTTAGTTAATTCTATGGTTTCCATAACTTGGTTCATTTGCAAATCTTTCATATGTGGATCTGTGTTACCTGAACTCGTCGTTTCCGGCGAGGGTGTCCGTGTCGACACGACACGACACGACACCGACACGGACTCGGGATATGCGTCCGACCTTGTACGGTCAAGATCGGACACGGCCGTTGAAGAAAACCCTTGTTTCAGTGGTCGGAAATTATGGTCGGAAATTTCTGGTTTCATCACGTTTTCAGGAAGAGGTTTTGGAGAAGACGAGGGTTCTTCACGCGTTGGTTTTGCATAGAAACCTACCCTATTTGGAGCGTCCCACTCACGCGTAAACTTGACACCACTCACGCGTAAACTTGACAGCCTGTCATTGTCGAGAAACGTAACAGAGTGTGTGTGTATATATATATAATCATCTAGTGGGTTACCAGTTGTAACCCACTAACCATGTACATGTTGACCGACATAAAAAAAAAAACAGGTGTAATTTTACATTTTTGACCTTATAAGTTGTGATGGAAAAATTAGAAAAGATTGGGTAGGATTCAGTTACGGGATTTCTGTTCTTTCTTCCTCTTGTGTGTGACTGTGTATACATATATATGGGTTTTTTTTTTCGGGTTTTTTTTTTTTTTTGACAAGAATAACCTAATTTATTACTCTTCTTATATTTGTAAGTTAATACAATTATGTAATTTTGTACTCATGAAAAATCTTTTCCCTAGTTTTATTTTATATTTTGTTTTTCCCTCTATGTTTTTTTCAGAGTTCATATTGCCGGCCAGCAGTGCAAGAAACACTGTGAGATCACCATCGCCCAGGGAGCATTGTAAGAGGGATTCATTGGATTGGGCTGGACTCAATATTTTAATTCTGACTTCTCACCGGAATCCGTGGATTCCGACCGGAATCATTCTTATTAAACATGGAGTAGTAAAATAAACTATGAGAAATTTGAGTTCCATTGATTCCAATTTGAATCTATGATTAATTTAGTTTGATTTTGAAATTATTGAGTTCATAAAATTACAACAATGAAAAAAAAAAAAAAAAAAAAAAACTTTGAAGAGAAAAAAATTATGATTTAATTGACTAAAGGGAAATAAGAATGTAACTTTTTTTTTTTTAAGAAAAAAGGAAAATATAGGAATTTGAAGAGTAAAAGAAGGAAAAAAAAAAAAAAAAAAAGGAAATAAGAAATAATTTTAGTAAATGAAGATTTTAGATATAACGGACAATAAGTAAAAGATCAAATTATGATTTAATTGACAATTATGATTTAATTGACGAAAGGGAAATAGGAATGTAATTTTTTTTTTTTAAGAAAAAAGGAAATTATAGGAATTTGAAGAGTAAAAGAAGGGAAAAAAAAAAAAAAGAAAAAGAAAAAGAAGGAAATAAGAAATAATTTTAGTAAATGAAGATTTTAGATCTAAAGGACAATAATTAAAAGATCAAATTATGATTTAATTGATCAAAGGGAAATAGGAATGTAACTTTTTTTTTATTTTTTTAAGAAAAAAGGAAATTATAGGAATTTGAAGAGTAAAAGAAGAGGAAAAAAAAAAAAAAGGAAAAAAAAGAGAAGAAATAAGAAATAATTTTAGTAAATGAAGATTTTAGATATAAAGGACAATAATTAAAAGAATAAATTATGATTTAATTGACGAAAGGGAAATAGGAATGTGACCCTTTATTTTTAAAGAAAAAAGGAAATTATAGGGATTTGAAGAGTAAAAGAAGGGGGGAAAAAAAAAAGGAAATAAGAAATAATTTTAGTAAATGAAGATTTTAGATATAAAGGACAATAATTAAAAGATCAGACTTATTTGCTTTGACTTTTCAAAATGGATGACTAATATAAGAAATCTAAAAATAATATTGTCTAAAATGATAAAAGGTTTTTCCCATAATTAAATCTCATAAATCCATTAAAAAGGGTAAATAAATACTTATGCATTTTTTAAATAACTTTCATATAAAAAATATTGAAAGTAAACTAATTTCACATTAATTACTAATCATGTTTGAGGTTTATAAATATTCTAAAAAATATTATATACATTATATTTAAATTAATTAACTTTTTATCCTATATTTAAAGCTCGTATCTTACACACTCACTTATTGCTAAGAAAATTATATAATTTTCTTATTACTCATTAATCATGTTTAAGGGTATAAATATCTTACAAAAAAATTTAAATTTATATTACTTAAGTTTCTTTTCTATTTAAATCTCGGATACCCATTTATTAGTAAGATAATTATATAAATAATTACACATTAAATTATTTATTTTGTTTACAAAAATATTAGAATAAAATTAAGTATTTAACTAAAAAAAAGCTTATATTTAAGTATTTAACTATATAATTCACATTGAATTATATTTGTCCTAATTAAACACATTGAATTAAGGAAGCTTTGGAAAAAAAATAAAAAAAATTAAGGAGGTTATAATAGTATAGTAATCCTACATGACTATATAATTAAGGATAGTGATGGATGGGCCGATAATTTTGGCAGAATATACATGGCAATCCACGTAAGCAACTTTAACAATTAAAAAAAGGAAAGAAAATAAAAGGGGAAACAATATATGCATCTGCACATTCATCTTTCCCAGGCTGTCAAATTCTAGGCTAAGTATAGTTATCAAATCTCTCCCTCTTTGTTTCGTCTCTTCAAACAATATTTCTTACCTTTTGAAATTAAGAAGGCTACACTAATATAGTGATCCTATTACCTATATAACTATATAATTTAACACGTGTAATTAAAAATCTCATACTAATATAGTGATCTATATATAACTATATAATTAAACGCATTGAATTATAGAGGCTATATATACTAGTATAGTGATTCTATATAATTATATAATTTAACACATGTAATTATATGATTTATATCTATATAATCAAACACATTGAATTAAGGAGGCTATACTATTAGTACAGTGATCCTGTATAACTATATAATTAAACACATTGAATTAAGGAGGCTATATATATATATATATATATATAATGATCGATCCTATATAACTATGTAACTAAATAAGGCTTAATTTAATTACTAATTAATTATAATTTAAGTTGTTAATTACATGTATGTAGTCACTTTCATAAGAACTAGTAATTCAATACGAACTAGTAGTTCCATAGCAACTAATTGCAACCTTGGGTAGTCACATCATCAACTTGGAGGCTGAGAAGATTTTTTTGAATACAATGATACAAGTTATGTACAAGTGTACAACTGACAAGGTTTTATATATTGCAAAAAATAACATATTGGAGGCGGGAGTTTCTTTTGCATTTAATGCATACAAGACAAGGGTTTGAAAAGTTGAAATCCAATGTATATGTGGCTATGGCTTGTGGGTTTGGTGGAGTGCATGGAGATTGGAGATGACGGAGTGTTAGACTCATTATACTCTACCAAACTCTTATTTCTCGGACACCACATCTCTCTCATTTGCCGAAAGTCCGATAGACATTGAGCTTCAACAATAATCTCATCTGCAAATACGGAAGAAAAACAGGTATATACTCAAATCAAATGGTTGGTTTTTTATTCCTCTAAGTATTTTTTGATTTCAACAATAATCTCATCTTCAAATAGGGAACAAAAACACGTTTATACTCAAATCAATTGGCTGGTTTTTATTCCTCAAACTTTGAGCTTCAACAAAAATCTCATGTATAAATAGGGAACAAGAACAGGTATATACTCAAATCTATTAGCTGGTTTTTATTCCTCAAGTATTTTTTGATTTTAAGTTTCAAAGTAATGGCCGAACTGCCAAGTTGGTGCTGCTAAGTTGTTAACATACATCTTAAGTATTTCGTATTTTCTCATTCTCTTGTTGTTGTTCCCTTAATGCATCAGTAATGTACTAACAAATTAAAAATTACATTTAGTGTGTAGAATTATATTTATTGCTTATGTGTACTTTGTTTATTTTTTTTATTACTTTGTATACATTCTTTATTTTCTAGATGTCTGCCAAAGGGAAAGGGAAGGTAAACCTAAGACCATCAAAAGCTCAAAGAACTGAATTTGATGACAAACCACTATGGAATCATGTGATAGTTCATAGCCTACCAACACGTGGAGGTAGAAATAGAAATTGGTGTTGCAATTATTGCAACAAAAAGGTTATAGGATCATATTCAAAAGTCAAGGGTCATTTATTGAAGATTCCTAATCAAGGGGTTGAAGCTTGCAAGTCTATAAGCAATGATGTATTTGAAGCACTAAAGAAGGAACATGTGCAATCTGAAAGCAAAAGGGCACAACAGGAATTGAATGTGAGAAAGAAGGAAGGGTATTTATCATTGCCTGAAGGATCAGAATTATTGCAATGCAAAAAAAGAAAGGGATTAGCTCCAGGAGCTCTAGAAAATTCATTTAATGTAGCACAAAGAGATGAAGCAGATAAACAGGCTGCCCCGCATGTTCTATGCATCTGCCTTATCCTTCAACTTCGCAAGGTGCCTTCACTTTAGAAAATATTCACTCACATTAGCCAATAGCAAGTTATCTGGCTATACACCTCCAACATTCGACAGATTACGAACAACATTGCTGGCCCAAGAGAAGGCACATTTTAATTGAAAGCTCCAACCGATAAAAGATAGCTGGAAAAAGAAAGGCATGTCCCTTTGTTCAGATAGGTGGTCAGATAGACAAAGGAGGCCACTAATAAATGTAATGGCTGCATCAGTAGGTGGTGCTATGTTTTTGAAGGCAGTTGATGCAAGTGGCAACATAAAAGATGCTGAGTATGTAGCAAATTTGTTTATACCAGTGATCAAAGATGTGGGAGAACACAATGTTGTTCAGATCATTACTGATAATGGGAGTAACTTTAAGGCTGCTGGGGGTATAATTGAGAGTACATATCCTCACATCTTTTGGACTCCATGTGTTGTGCATTGCCTAAATTTGGCACTAAAAAGCATTTGTGAACCATCTGAAACCTCACCTCAATATACTCATTGTAAATGGATTATTGATTTGGTGAGTAGTGTTCAAAATATAAAAAATTTCATTGTTAACTATGGCATGGTACTCTCAATTTTCAATACTTACTCGGAATTGGGTTTACTAAGGGTAGCAGAAACAAGATTTGCATCAAGCAAAATCATGGCAAAACGTTTGAAAGAAGTGAAGAATGCACTTAAGAAGATGGTGATGGATCCAACTTGGAGAAGGCTTTTAAAAGGAGATGGAAAGTCAGCAATTGAAATCAAGGCTAGGGAAGTTAAAAAATGCATTGTGAGTGACAGTTGGTGGGATGACTTGGAATATCTCTTGGAATTTACTGAACCTATTGTTGATTTTTTGAGGTTAGCAGACACTGATGCCCCTGTTCTCCATTTGATTTATGATATGTGGGACACAATGATTGAGAAAGTTAAATTCAGAATATTTGCTCATGATAAACAAGATATGCTGACTGGCCAATCAAATTTCTTTGATGTCATTCACAATATATTGGAAACAAGATGGAATAAAAGCAACAATCCACTGCATTGTATGGCTCATTCATTGGTTCCTAAATACTACACTGAATCTTGGATTAGAGGTGGAAGTGATGGAGTTCCACGGCTCTCACCACATGAAGATCAAGAGGTCTCTTTGAATAGAAGTAAATGTTTCAAACAATTATTTAGCAATCAAGATGATCTTCGGAAAGTTTATATTGAATATGGAGCTTTTTCAAGTGGATCCGGTTACTTCAATGAGCCTCATGTTATTGATGCAAAATTGTATGGGGAACCAATTTCATGGTGGGCAAATCATGGTTTTTCAACACCAATGTTACAAGCTTTAGCATTCAAGCTTCTTTTATAGCCTGCATCATCATCTTGTTGTGAAAGAAATTGGAGTACATAATCTCTTATTCAAAGCATCAAAAGAAATAGATTGACTACAAGTAGAGCTGAGGATTTGGTCTTTGTACATTGCAACCTCCGTCTCATGTCAAGAAAGAAGAACGAATACAAAGAAGGGCCGACAAAGTATTGGGACTTATGTAAGTTCACTAACTAACTACTTTTAAATTTTAATATCTTCAATAAACTTCTAAAAATATTCTTCTTCTGCTTAATGATTTTTTTTTTTTTACATCAATGTTAATTTATTTTGTTTAATAGGTGATGATAAGTTTGATATTGATGGTAATACTCTTGGGGAACTTGCTGAACTTTCCATCAATGATCTAGAGTTAGAGCTTATAACATTTGATGATGCATTTGAAGAAGGGCAAGAGGCTGCCTTAGGGGCTGAAGTTGAACCACTTGAAGAATTCCAACAAGGAATAATGGATTGAAGAAAAAGAAATGAAGCAGTTCAAAGATAAAAGAACCATACCTTGGCTTTTGAGTTATGATTTTTGCTTTTCTAGTTTAATTTTTTGAGTTGTTGAACTTAAATGTTGTCTTGTTTCCAAGTTGCCAACTTGTCTGTTACTCTGTTAGTAACTTAGTACTTGGTTCAGTGCTTGGTAATGCTGTAATAGTATACTTTGAATGTGTCTATGACTTTATGATATAAATTATATAATTGTAGTTTAAACTTTAAACTTTTAAAGTCTTCAATTTACTCTTAACTTAAGTTCTTAACTTCTCAATTCTTTAACAGGTGAAAGTGAATGATATACTCATTTAGGCATTTAGGCTATTTAGCAACCAGCAGGTATGCTTCTCTATCCTTATGTTTAACAATTTAGCATCTGTTTATTTTTTTTAATAAGTTCACAACATAAGATAAATTTCAATTTAATATTTCAGGTGCAAACTTGCAAAGTGCGGATTGTGCAAGTGTGATCAGTGGTGATATACTGATATGTAATTGAAGGCTAAAGTCACTAAAGTATTATGGTGCAGTGCAACTGTACAAGTGCAAGTGTGGGAATTCAGTATTCACAGAATCACAATAAAGTGATAAACCAATAAAGTACTTATAAGTTATAATTATATAATTTATATCATTCTAAATTACTAATATACTGTCATGTATCATACATTCATGTATGGTTGTATGCCTAACTGCCTATATATATGTCTTTAGACTCTTTAATACTCCAATATACTATTTTCTATGCCATGTCCAGGTACCCGTGTCCGAGTTTTGGACACTTTTATTCCGTGTCCCCGTGTCCTATAATTTAATAAATAGATGGATCCGACCTCTAGACACGTACCCGAGTGCGACACCCGTACCCGAGTTTGGGTAACATAGATGTGGATAATGTTTAGTATATCAACGAGAAAGGATCGAGAACCATTCATCATGCCTCAACATAGTTCATCTCATGGTGGAACATCCAAATACCATTTAATCCAAATATCGTGATTGCAGTCCCAACAATACATGGTTAAGATCTAAAGTCTATGTCTTACAACGTTTAGACAACTTATAATAAAATTACAGCCCATATATATAATTATAATAACATGAGTTCACAAATCTATATACCAAATATAACAAACTAAGATTTTACAAAAAAATATGGGACTTAAATACAAAAAATAACAAAACAATCTTCTAATCCAATTTAGGCCTGTGGTGGAACGTCATCCGCCACTTCTTTCTTGTTTCCTGAAAAAAATGTTAAATATAAGGGGTGAGCAAAATTGCTCAATAGGTGGTGCCTAAGACACACCTCTTGTGGTCCCGTGAATCCAAATAATGAATAGGGATAAAGAATAGGGATCATTCTAAACCGAGGAAAACACGACATAAATTTCTCAAGTTCAAGACTAACAAATTTCCATGCCATGAATGCAATGCTATGCATGTCACTCCCCATTTTCAAATTCATTTCAAAAACTTCACTTTTCAAACCGTTAACGTAACCCATCCCTCGGTACCCCCTTGGCGACATGAGAGAAGGATTGGCTACTATCCCTGACCCTTGGTAACCCCGCGGCGTCATTTGGGGTCCAGTTGGCTCAACCACGCTAGGGCAATCTCTCTAATTCCCTCTAGGCTATATTAATGCCATGGACTCTCGGTATCCCCTTGGCGTCCAGGTTTTCACAAAAATCCTTTTCTCAAAAAGGTTTCCCAAATCCCCTTTTTATTCATTTTCAAAATATTTCCCGTCCTTCATGCCCAATGACATGCGTGTATGTCTCATGCCTTCACTACTATGGAAATAAGATAATTTCAAGTAACATAATTAATCATTTTTTGCCAAATTTTTTAAAGAAAACATATATAGTTACATACATCATTTCTAGCACAATTCACAACACGGTGAACATAGAAAATCAACATGTAAGCATGTTTTTAACACAAATCAGCATGTATATATATATAGAGTCATGAACTTTATACATTACAACACAATCATTCTAGGATAATTATCATCAATTAGACACATTAACAATAATTACATGAAATTAACTCACAAAGGAACAAGAAAATGTGGGTTAGAGACCCCTGCCTCAATCTAAGCCAAAAATCCCAATTTTCACCTCAAATCCTAGGATTTTCGAATCTCCTCTAGTACACCAACCAAAGAATTGCTCCTATCAACTTGTTGATCTCGTCGTGGGCTTCGAATAGCCGCAAACGGCTCTTAAAAACACTAAGAAATGATGAATTAATCAGAGGTTGAAGTTGCAAAGGAAAAAGAAAAAGAAAAAGGCAGCGAGAGAGAGAACTTGCCGAGAGAGAAGCTGATTGCAAAAAAATGGGTCTGTAATGGCCCTTTGTCATGTAATGACTTAAAATATCAGCGGGCCCCACTAATTAAAATAATTTTTTTAACATTAAATATATATATACATATATATCACAAACATTACATTTTCCCCAACTTTAAAAGATTTCGTCCCCAAAATCAAGCCATACCTGAGGGAGGAAACAATTTTGGATACTGGGAGGAAACAATTCTGGATACTTTGAGCGAACCTCCTGTTCAAGCTCCCAAGTAGCCTCCTCAACTCCATGATGCCTCCAAAGAACTTTCACCAATGGTATCGTCTTGTTCCTCGACACCTTCTGCTGTGTGTCAAGGATCTGAACTGGTCCCTGCTCGCAGGAAACATCATCATCAATGTCCACATCAACCCAACTCAAAATGTGAGATGGATCTGGCTCGTACTTCCGTAGCATCGATACATGAAAGACATTGTAGACTCTGTCCATCTGTGGTGGCAAAGCAAGTCTGTAGGCAACCTCTCCTACTCGGTCCAAGATCTCAAAAGGTCCAATGAATCGTGGCCATAACTTGCCACCCTTGCCGAACCTCAACAACTCCTTCCGTGGAGAAACCCGAAGAAAAACGTGGTCTCCCACCTCAAAGGATAACGGCTCGAGGAAAAACGTGGTCTCCCACCTCAAAGGATAACGGTTGTCTCCGCTTATCCGCATAACTTTTCTGTCGGCTCTGAGCTGTAAGTAACCTCTGTCTGATCAGCTTAATCTTCTCAGTAGTCTCGAGTACTATGTCGGGTCCTAAGGCAGCTGTCTCACCTACCTTAGTCCAACAAACTGGAGACCTACAGGTCTGCCGTACAACGCCTCAAATGGAGCCATCTTAATACTCGCCTGATAACTGTTGTTGTAGGCAAACTCAATAAGCGGTAGATGATCTTCCCAACTACCACCCAAGTCAAGCACACATACCTGAAGCATATCCTCCAAGATCTGGATAGTACGTTCTGACTGGCCGTCTGTCTGTGGATGGAATGCCGTACTAAGATGCAACGCTGAACCAAACGCTGCTTGAAGTCCTTCCTAGAACTTCAAAGTGAACTTGGCATCCCTATCTGAGACAATGGTTACTGGAATTCCATGTAACCTTACAATCTTCTTCACATAAAGTACACCAAGCTTCTCTGCATCATCTATTGCCTTAATAGGCAAAAAGTGAGCCGTCTTGGTCAATCTGTCAATGATGACTCATACGGCTTCATTGCCCTTCCGTGACCTTGGAAGACCTGTCACAAGATCCATAGCAATATGTTCCCATTTCCACTGCACTACAGGTAATGGTTACAACAAATCGGCTGGTCTTTGATGCTCAACCTTCACCTGTTGACAGGTAAGACACTTAGCCACAAATTGTGCAACATCTTTCTTCATCCCGTTCCACCAATACTGACGTCTCAAATTGTGATACATCTTGGTACCACCTGGATGAACTGTAAAACGGGAACTGTGAAATTCCCGTAGAACGTCCTCACGACATCTTGTGGAAACAACCAACAAGCCTCTGTACCGTAAACCCCCATCTGCATGTAAGGTCCAATCTTTCACTGTCTCACCACTAAAATCAAGGTGTAAATGGCATCCAAATCCGGATCCTGTCTCCGCAACTTAATCACTCGTCTGACAAGAATAGGCTGAGCCACAAGACTAAATAAGAATGCTGACTCATTGCAAACATCGTCATCAAAACATTATAATCCCATTTTTGCTAGATCTTTAAGCATCTTCCATTTTCGAATGGCTAAACTAGCCAAAGTTCCACGCGATTTCTGGCTTAAGGCATCTGCTATCACATTTGCCTTGCCCGGATGATACTGGAAGTCAAAATTGTAATCTTTTAAGAATTCAACCCATCTTCTCTGTCTGTTGTTCAAGTCCTTTTGGAAGAAAAGGTACTTAAGACTTTTATGATCCGAGTACACCTCGAATCTCTCACCATACAAGTAATGTCTCAAACATTTCAAGGCAAATACAATTGCCGCTAACTCTAAATCATGAGTAAGGTAGTTAAGCTCATGAGTCTTCAACTATCGAGACTCATAAGCCACTACTCTACCATCCTGCATCAACACACAACCCAAATCATCATGTGAAGCGTCACAATAGATCACATAACCCAAGCCACGCTCGGGTATCACCAACATTGGAGCTGTAGTCAATCTTGTCTTCAACTCTTGAAAAGATGACTCACAAGCTTCATTCCAGACAAACTTGATCCCTTTCCGGGTCAAACGGGTCATAAGAGCTGCCAAACGGGAGAAATCCTTCACAAATCTCCGATAGTAACCCGCTAGGCCAAGGAAATTCCGAATCTCAAAAACATTCTTAGGTTGCTCCCAAGTCAAAACTGCTTCTATCTTCGATAGATCCACTAACACTCCACCTTCCGAGACATGCCCCAAAAATTTCACCTCCTGTAGCCAAAACTCACATTTCTCATATTTGGCATACAATCGGTGGTCTCGTAAAATCTGCAATACAATGCTCAAATAGATCTCATGCTCCTTCTGAGTCCGTGAATACACAAGAATATCATCCACAAAAACTACCACAAACTGGTCCAAGTAATCGTGAAAGACGCTGTTCATCAAGTCCATGAATGCAGCTGGCGCATTACTTAAACCAAAAGGCATAACAAGGAACTCATAGTGTCCATACCGTGTACGGAACGCTGTCTTTAGAATATCCTCATCCTTAACCCGCAACTGATAGTGACCTGACCTCAAGTCAATCTTCGAAAAATAACTGGCTCCTCTCAACTGATCAAACAAAACATCTATCTTTGGCAAATGATATTTGTTCATGATAGTGGCATGATTCAACTTCCGGTAATCAATGCACAATGTCAAAGAACCATCTTTCTTCTTAGCAAACAAGACCGGTATGCCCCACGGTGACACACTCGGTCGGATGAAACCTTTCACCCTTAAATCATCAAGCTGCCTTTTCAATTCTTCCAACTCAACTGGTGCCATACGATACGGTGCCATAGAAATTGGCGCGGTACCAGGTATCAAATCAATAGTAAACTCCAATTCTCGGTATGGAGGCAACTCTGTCAAATCCTCCGAAAACACATCTAGAAAATCACGAACAATTGCAGGATAATCTTCTTCCACAACATCATCTTCTTCAGCTAGAAGACTAGCCAAGAAGTAATCACCACGACTCCATCCACGAATTCCATACAATGATGATGGTTGGGAATTACTTCAATCTCCCATGAAAAAGAAACAGTCTCCCTCAGGAGTGCAAACTATGACTTTACCTCGGAAACAGTTGATCGTGGCATGAAAGGAAGCTAACCAATCCATCCCGAGAATGACATTAAAGCTAATCATCTCCAGAAGGATAATATCAAACACAAAAGTCCGCCCGGCTATGACAATGGAACAATCCCTCACAACTTAGCTCAAGGATACTGAAACCCAAACTGGCGTATCAACACACAACGCCCGATCCATGAAACTGACCTCTATGCTGGTTATTAAATTAATCTTATGCATATAATATGCATGAAATGGTTATGTGTGAATTAATTTATTTTTAAGCTTAAAGTTGATACATAGTTTAATTGTAGGCATGGAGGAGTTTCCATAGGTGTAAGTATTTTGCCTAAATATTTGTATGAATAAAATACATACACAGAAAGCATGGTTGAATTGTTAATTTAAAAGTATAAATATATATACTTAAATGAGGCATGGTTGAGTTGCCAATATATAAATAAATATATTTATAATGGCATTTTTGATTTGCCAAATGTGTAAATAAATATACTTGTGGAGGCATGGTTGATTTGCCAATGTATAAATAAATATATTTAAGGAGTCATCGTTGAGTTGCCAATATATCAATGAAAATATTTATAATGGTATGGTTGATTTGCCAAAGCGTAATTAAATTGTTACGTGTTAGATGATAAAAATATCATCTATGGTTATTATATGTATAAACTAGATTAAGATTAGATATTCTTAAATTATAATAGTCTAGTACTTATAGGTTAGTGTATTATTTTATGCATATTAATAAAATAATATTGGTGGAGACATAGATGATTTGTCAAAGTTTAGATTTTGGATATGTGATTTAAATAATTAAAATCATTATCAGGTTTGGGATTAAATATAATATTTTTTTATTATAATTTATTATTTAAATAATTAAACAACTGATTAGGATGTGATTAAGGTTAAAAGAGTTTCTTTTTAAAATAAATGGTATTGGTCTAGAAATGATTATTATTTTAATAATTATTTAATAGGTATGGAAATTTAATAAACCTATTAATGGATGTGATTAGTATAATATATATAATTATATATAGACGTGTATATCGTGCTTTATTAAAGTTAAAACTTTATTAGGTTTGGTTTTGATCAGAGATGATCTGTTTATTGGTTTTCAGAGGCCTGGTAGAGTGAACTTGCTTGTAAGATTTAACCCACGATTTTATTTTCAGGCTATTAGAAGTTCAAGTCTTAAGGTTGAGGATCCACAACTGGAGGACTTATCTATTTTTTCTATTTTATTTCAAAGTATGATATTATTGTTTCAGTGATTATTAATGGATTTATAGATAGTGGATTTTGGTTAAGGGGTCCTTGAGATTACGGGATTCCCGAGTTATAACCATTGACTAGTTATTAATGGAAATTTTTATTTATTTTTTCTTCAGCGTAATGTTTATTCTCTTTTATTTCATTTTGTACTCTGTGCTTATTTAAATACTTTAATTGTTTTGATATCCCTTAATTTTGTGTGCGGATTTGATCAACCCGTGTTCCAAAATCAGGGGTATTACAAATGCCATCTCAAATTAATAATCTCTTAAAGTCAAAATATAGTAGGTGGAAGAATATAATACACTCTCATGACGTCTCACAAGATCTCTTATATTTTGAGATTGTTAAAAGTATTGTCATATATATAACAACTTAGTAAGTTCCTATGGATTAAATTGAGTTAAGCTTTTTCACTAATGAGATTAGCCTTAATCTTCCCAATCAGTAGGGATTGGATGAAATTAGATTTAATGAAATTCCATTCAATCCGCAATTACCCCTAGTTTTTAAACATATAAATTGTGAATGGAAATTTCATCGAAAGTTGAAACCCGTTCGAGACGGTATGGAAAGAGTTATGGTTAAACGAAGAGGGATAGGGTTTAAGGGAACTCCCCATCAGTTAAGCAATTGTATATATGTATACTTTCTTTTTAATATTCTAAAATCAAAATAAATACCTCTCATTCTACACTCTTAGGTCCTTAAGCCATATTGGTGGTGACGACTCATAGTATTGTTGTTGGGGAATGTTGCGTAAAAAAGAAAAAAGAAAAGAAAAATAAAATAAAATAAAAAAGAAAATATGCTTGTTGCTGGGGCCGGGAATGTTTCGTAAAAAAAAAAAAAAGAAAAAAAAAAAAAAGAAAAAAAAAAAAAAAAAAAGAAAATATGCTTGTTGCTAGGGCCGGAAATGTTTTTTTATCCATTTATTCTCTGCACTTCCCTGGAAATTAAGGAAAGGAAAAAGGAAATTCTCTCTCTCCGTAAAACAAGTACCGGGCTCTATCTATCCCTTGCAATGCTAGATCCTCTCTCTCTCACACACAAGCCCACCCAATCTTTCTGTTCATTTATTCTAATACTACCATTTTAGTTTCGAAAATGGCAGAAGGTTCATGGACTTACGATGTCTTCTTGTCCTTCAGGGGTCCGGATACTCGCCGTTCCATCGTCGACTTCCTATACTACGCATTGGTGGAGCGTGGGTTTTCGACATTCGGAGACGACAATAAAACTTAAACGCGGAGGAGCAATCGGGCCGAGACTGCTTAAAGCCATTGAGGAATCAAGGGTCTCCATTGTGGTATTATCGAGAAACTACGCGTCCTCAAGATGGTGCATGGATGAGCTTGAGAAAATCATGGAGTGCAGGAGGACTTTGAGACGGGTTGTTCTTCCTGTTTTTTATTGCGTAGAACCGTCCGACGTGCGGCGGCAGACGGGAGTATACGCCGACACATTTGCGTCGCATCAACAGCTCTTTAGAGACGACCAGGTTCAGAGGTGGAGAGCTGCTTTGACTGAGGTTGCCTATTTATCGGGTTTTGTATTGACAGACAATGACAGGTAAGAATTCCCCCAGTTAATTTAGTTTTTACTGATTAATCATTTGCTCAAATTTGAAATCTTTGAATCTTTGAGTTTCACATAATATTTTTATCTTAAATTTCTTACTACTAATAATTTGTATGAATTTCAAGTAGCAAGGAAAAAAAATATATCATATAAAATAATCTAGACTACTAATCATTTTTTAAATAAATAGGAAAATAGTATTAAATATGTAACTTCTTTAATGAGTTTCAACTATGAATTGTTGTCTTAAATGGATTCTTTTTGACATTCAAATATGAATCTTTGCGTATAAATATATTAGAAATATACCATAGCCTCTCTTTTTGTAAAATAGACCACGGGTTGCATTTACCTCATGTCACAACAAAAGAATAAATTTTTGTAAGGACAAAAGTAGCTTCTACCACTTTTAACTGTCGGCCCCTTTTCAGTTTCACCTTTCCAAAAAAAAAAAAGGTATATTATTTTTGCACATCTATTTATGACTCTTCTGAGTTCTGACTCTAACTTGATAAATGAATAATATTTATTTTTTTAAAATTACAAAATTACACTTTCAGATATGATTGGTCTCTCATTTCTATCTCCAATCTCTAATGTTTTTTATCCAAAAACAAAAACATAAAATAAAAAACATAAAAGCAAGTTATAAATATATTCTCTCTTTTGACATGACCCAAAAAATAATAATAATAAGTCACCAAAAAAAATTCTATATTGAATATATTCTCTCTTTTGGTAGCACTAAAAAACAAAAAGTACAAAAAAAAAAAAATTATGTCGTTTGATAGAATCACAAAAAGAAAATAATAATAATAATTGTTGAATAAATGATCTCTTTTGACAAGATCCGAAAAAAAAAAAATGAAAATAACTCTCTTTTTTTTCAAGACAATTTCTCTTGAATAAATGATCCCTATCTCTCTTGAATAAATTAGTAGTTTAGCTACTTTCTTGTCATTTCTGTCACGCGGCCGTGGGGCGGGTGGATTTTTTTTCCAAAGATAATGTAGTGTGTTATGTATAGGACTAGAATCTAAAGTGAAAGACAATTGTTAGTTGTGTGTTTGAGTAGTGAAGAAAAGAATACTGAAATATAATTTGTAGTTGGTATGTGTGCTGATCAAATTCTGAACAAAAATAGTGAGATCTTTGAATAAAATATTCATGCTCTCTCCGCCCTTGTCCTTGCTCCATTTTTCAATTTCATTTTCTGCAATTGCTATTTACATAGTTCAGAATCAAAATGATAGAGATAAAAATTAGAATGAATCTTCTATTTTGCTATCAATCCATCATCGATTCACCATTCAATTTGTAGGTTTTTTTCTCTAAATTTGCAGGTAAAACACGCTCAATTTTTTTTTATATATATAAAATATGGAAATACCCAAGTTTTATTTTGTTCATATGAATCTATCTCATGAATTAGATCAAAAATATTAAACTGCTCCTTAAAAATTTTGTGATTTTCTTATAATTTTTTGTTTTTATTGTTTGCCTTTTGATGTAAAAAAAATTATATATGCCATGTTAGTTGGCTTCTTCTTCTTCTTCTTCTCCTTCTTTTTTTTTTTTTTTTTTTGTCGAATACATTATGCCCCCCTCGATACAATCCTGCCTCCGCCCCTGTATTTAGGTGAATAATTAAAATAAAATAAAATAAAAAAGTATAAAAAGAGTGCAAAATGTAGAAAAAGATGGTGCCAATATTCCGTCCTTGTTTTATGGAGAAAATTTTATATTGGATCTTCTTCAAAACGCACTAATTTCTTTTTTGGATTTGTTTCATTTTGTCTACAAATTCCTTTTTTCCATGCATCATGACGGAGTATTGGCTCTTTTTGCTTGGTCAGTTCTATTTTGTCAGAATTTTTTTTTACTCGTCTTCTTCAAAATACACAATTTTCTTCTTTAAGTTTATGGAAAATGGAAATGATAAACTTGATGATGTAATAAAAATCGTCCCATATAAAAACTAGTAATTGAGATAAATACTTAGGAGAGAGAATCTATCTGTATAGCATTACTCTAAGCAAAAATAGACTCATTCTATTTCACCACTCCATCAAATTTTACTAAACTGTTCATCGTTTTTTCTATTTTAAAAAAAAAAAAAACTAACTTGCGGGAGGAAAATTTGCAGGTCTAGTTCGAAGGTAATTAAAAAAATCATTAAAGAGGTCCGAAATATAACTGATCGTGCATCTTTAAATGTTGCGGACTATCCAGTTGGAATAGATGCCCGTGCTGAAAAACTCATTCAAATGCTAAAGTTGGAGTCAAATGATGTTCGAATTGTAGCAATATGGGGGATGGGCGGAATAGGCAAGACTGCAACTGCTAAAGCTGTGTATAATCTTATACATCGTAAGTTCGACAGCAGTTGCTTTCTGTTAAATGTTGGAGCAACTTGGAAGCAATACAACGGTCCTGTTAAATTACAAAAAAAGCTTCTTTCAGATATCCTACTCGAGAAAAAGCCTAGTATGGAAGATTATGAGCATGGAATTATACAAATAAAACAGCGAGCATGGTGCCGAAGGGTTTTTCTTGTCCTCGATGGCGTGGATGACGGGGACCAATTGAAGACATTAGCCATAAATCGCGAGTCACTATGTTCTGGAAGTAGGATCATTATAACAATTAGGGATTTATCTTCGATAAGTTCGCTTGAACTTCCAGAGAATGAGGTGTATAAACCCAAGGAGTTGGATGCGGAGGAGTCCCTTAAACTCTTCAGTTGGCATGCCTTCAAGAAAAAAGGTCCTTTAGAAGACTACAGGATGCTCTCAGCGGAAATGGTGGGTTATGCTAAGGTGATTCCTTTAGTTCTTGAAATTTTAGGTTCCTTCTTTTCTGACAAAATAAAATCCGAATGGATAAGTGAATTGAAAAAGTTAAAGGAAATTCCTCATGATGATGTCCAAGCAAAACTTAAGCTAAGCTATGATTCACTCAATGGTGAATAGAAAAGCTTATTCTTAGATATTGCATGTGTTTTTTGTTAGAATGAACAAAGATTTGGCAATCAAAATACTAGAAGGCCGTGGTTCATTCCCAGAATCTAATTAATATCCGTGTTCTAGTTCGTCGTGCTCTTTTGCAAATTGATTCAGATAACCGATTGATAATGCATGTTCGGATTCAAGATATGGGTAGAGAAATTGTCCGCCAAGAATCTGTTCAAGAGCCTGGAGAACGTTCTAGATTGTGGAATGAAAAGGATGTTCTTGATGTACTGCAAAATTACAGTGTAAGAGCCAAATGCATTAATTATTTTGTTAATATGGGATGTTTTGTTCACCTTTGAGCGTCATCTAGGGAGGGGTACCATGTGTCAAAATTATATATACATTTTTATATATTTTCTTGTGCAACTGCTTGTATCATCAGGGAAGGGATACAGTTGAAGGCTTGCTCCTAAACTTGCAAAGATCAAATGAGCCACTGTTGGATGCAAAGGCATTTGTAAATATGAGTAGACTGAAACTGCTTCATCTCAATTACATTCGCCTAGTTGGGAGCCACAAACATCTCTCCAGAAGACTAGTATGGCTGTGTTGGATCGGTTACCCTTTGAATTGTATACCATCTACCCTATTTATGGGTAACATGGTCGCTATTGACTTGAGCTATAGCAAACTCAAAGTAGTTTGGAGAGAAACTAAGGTATGAAATTGTTTTCATTTCTTTCAAAGTCCTCACAATAAAATTCACTTTTCTATATATTCTTTGTTTATGACAGATTTTGAAGAAATTGAAATACCTCAATCTCAGTCATTCCTACCTGATAGAAACCCCAAACTTCACTGGACTCGCCAGTCTTGAAATATTGTTACTTAATGATTGTACAAAGTTGTTAGATGTTCACCATACTATCGAATGTCTACAAAATCTTCTTGTCTTGAATATGAAGAATTGCCAAGATCTTCACAAGCTTCTGCGAAGCATATTCATGTTGAAATCTCTCAACTATCTTGATCTCTCTGGCTGCTTCAAATTAGGCATCCGAAGATCCTGGCGTTCAATTGTCCGGTCTTTGGTATCATTAGCAAGAAGTCCGTATTCCATTGGGATGTTTTCGTCTTTAGTATCACTAGCAACAAGTCCAGATTTCATTCGGATGTTACCGGCTTCTACACAGGGACTAAGTTCCATTTCAAAACAAAATCTGGAAGTTCCATTTCAAAACTAAATCTGGAAAACTGCAATGTCTCCATTCTGCCCAGTGAAATTTGTGGTTTGGTCTCTTTGTAATGTTTGAATCTTAGCAGAAAAAATTTTGCTAGCCTACCAGCTAGCATTACCGGCCTTTCTTAACCGAAGGTCCTCTATCTAAACCAATGTATTGGGCTTCAATCACTTCCAGGTCTTCCAATCAAGTTAAAGGGTCTGAATGCAAACTACTGCACATCATTGAAGAGGATATCAATTGAATCAAAAGTGGATGAAGCCCCATTCATGACTTTTTATGGTTGTCCCGAATTAGTTGACAACTTTGCAAATGATTTTAGAAAAATTCTACTCTAGTACCAGGTACTCTCTCTGAGTCTCAGCACACACACACACACATATATACAAACTTAAGAAAAGAATCATGATTCTAATGCATGGTTTGATCGAACAGGGACTTCCCGAACAAAGCGATTTTAGTATTTTCCTTCCTGGAAGTGAGGTTCCAAACTGGTGCAACTACCAGTGTGTGGGATCATTTTTATCTTTTCTGGTGCCTCCGCTAGTGGGCAGGAATATACAAGGGTGGATTTTATGTGTTGTCTTTGTCGGTCGTTTGGATGATGAAGACAATGACGACGACATGTTTGCTATTTCTTGTGATATTAATAATAAAACTATGGGCACTAAGAAGCGTTACCAACCAACAGTTGATGGCTATCCTGTGAAGTGTAAAGATTAGATGTGGCTCAACTATGTGCCTCATCGGTATCTTGAATCCGAGTGGAAGGAATTCGACTCTCGATTTGGAGGTGGTGATAGAGTGGAGATAACAATAAGAATATACAGGCGATGGCAGGTGAAGAAGTGTGGGGTTAGTCTCATCTATGGTCAGGGCCACCGTGATGAGGAGGGTGCCGAGTCATTTGGTCAACCACTCATCCAAGACACCTTGCCTTCCGATGATCCACCAGAGGAGATGGCCACGCTCACAAGGCTCGTGTCTGATGAATCATTTCTTTGCGAGATTAGAGTGTTGAAATCCAAGAAGATGGACTAGCATTTGGCTATGTTAGATTATAAGTTTGAGGTTGAAGGTTGAAATGCGGAGTATAAGTTTGAAGTTTGAAGGTTGTTCGTCCCGCTCGAGATGGAGCTAATGGCGTGCCATTCCCAAAGATGACTACTGTAAGTATAACTATTAAACTGTTTGCCAGTCGAAAAACTCATATATGGCGTTTGGCTTTCCGATTGCAGAAACCCGAACTGAGTTCAAGCATGAGAGCAGCCACTTTAGTCTTTCTGCATATAATGTCAAGGTTTGTGTCGATTCATTATGAAGATTTTGTTGTAAAATTTTCATATTTGTTGTAGGATACTTCGTCAATTTGTTGGTAATTAACAGTGGGTGATCTTTTACAGCCTTTAAATTTCCCAAAAAGGAATTGGGTCACTGTAAAATTTGAAAATTAACCGAAAAAAGAAGCAATAACACATATTTACATGGTTTATTTAAAATTAGGGCTACAGTTACAGAGTCGCTGTTATTTCACTGTCATTGGCTCCATTATACTCATATACAATTAGAACTGCTTTAACAAATTGGATCTGCAAACGCGTGCTAAGGTATGTTGTATGCTATCAGCATAATGATCTTTATCTAGCTTTTTCACGTAAGTGACCCGAAAATTGATGTAGGACAACATTTGTTGTGATACATGAGACATAAAACCTCCCACAACAAGACTAACACTTAGCAAGGTTAACAAAAACCTTAAGCTTTAAAGAATATCATAAAAAATGGGAGTACTAGTATCAAGACAACTCAAGAAGGGTAAAATATTGAAGTACATCAACACCCAAGAAACGATATTCAAGGAGAACCACACAGAAAAAGACTTTGTAAACTAATCCCATAGGCTTTGCCTGCCCTAGAAAGAAGTCAAAGTGGTGGGCCAGAAACATACTCTAAATCCGCACGTGCCCATTGTCTACTGGACCCCACCAATAAGCGTGCAAGAGACGCATCGGCAATAGCAAATCCACCCATGCAATCAAACACGTCGCCGACCAGTGAACCCTAACCTCCAACCAACCCAAGAACGTCTGAAGGTAAAAAATTAGTATGTGGTGGTTAAGTGATAGGTGTATATTATATATTTATATATATATATATATATATATATATATATATATATATATATAATAAAGTAAGATATTTATAAAGCTAGTGGGACCCACCATTTTTATACATTTTAAAGGCCTTAAGGCCATTAACCAGATTAGCTCTCTCTCTCAATGCGTGAATCTCTCTCTCTCACTTTTATTTATTTTCTTTTTCTTTTTCTTTTATACCACATCTTTCTCTTTCATTTTTGGCCAATTGATCGAGTTTTCGGTCTTAGTTCCTCAACGGAAAATGTTCCTCTCATCGTTCTCTATCACATAGTCAATGGGTTTATTTTTTAAAGGAGCAGTGATTATTTTACGAATTTTTGAAATTTTTGAATCTAAGACTTCGGAGGGGGTTTTGGGCCACTTAGAGTCGGATTTCGAAGCTGCGCCTTTGGAACAATAGAATCTCCTCTTCGACGGCTACGTTCCCACTGAATGGTTTTCTATTCTGCAGCCGTTGACCGGCATTGACTTTTGTTGACCGGTGGTTGACCGACGTTGACTTTTCCGGCCGGGGATGTATTTTGGCTACTTTTGAGGTAGGGGCGCTTTAATTCACAATTTCTTAGGTTCTATGTGAATTTTCCTTCTTAAATTGACTATAAGCATGTTTAATTTCAATTGCTTTAACTATGTGATTGTGGTTGATTATATGTAAATTGGTGGATGTATGATATGTGATAAATGAGTTTGTAAATTTAGTTACATCCTTGTAGTGAAGAAGCATGCATAGAAATGACAAGTTGTTTACTTTATGTATTTCAATTGTCATGAAAATTTGATATCATAATCGTAGAAATAAATGTTTAAAATATTCTTTTACAAGTTATGATTATGATATGGATAAAATGTATGGAGTATAGTTGTTGAATTTGTCATTTGGAGTCATGAAGCATTTATGCATCAATTGGGAAAGAAAAAGGGGGAAAATATATATATTTTTTAAAAAAACCAATGAAATTGTTTTGGGAAATTTTTTTTTTGAAAAGTGTTTGTGAAAACCCGGATGTGATACCCCTCGGATCCGAAACACGGGTTGATCAGGCCCAGGCTCAAACCCGAGGGATATTAAACAATTAATATGCTATAACGAACACAGATGACAAAATGAATTTAAAACAAAACATAAAAGCTGGAAGAAACTAAAATATAAAATCCTTTGAAATTAAATATACTTAAATCCCAATACTCCAAAACCAATCCAAAACCTCCATAAGTTAAACAACTCGGGAATCCATCTCTAGTGGACCCCTAATAAAAATCCCAATTGAATGAAAGTAAAACTAAAGATAAAATCCAAGTCCAATAACTGGAAGGAAATCTTACATCGTCGGTAGAATGGAAGATCGTCTCTACTCAGCACGAACAAGCTCAAGCCTGGAATTGACGTACACCTGAAAAATAGAAGTGGGTCAGGCCCACGAACAAGTTCTATCCTACTACAATCCAAGCAGAGACTCGATACGCATGTACATACTAAATAGTTCAACAGTAACTAATAATCCGTACATAAATATATCCACACTACTGGACTCTCGCTAGACTTTGAAGAGGGTCTTAATCTGAATAGAAGGCATCACACAAAACACATCTGAGTGGGCATGAATACCTAAACCTAAACAGGGTATACCTCAACCCTCACAGCTAGCTACATATCCAATTGCATATACGCACCCTAACCGTCGACACTAAGACTCAAGCTCATGTCGCGGTATCATAAAAATATATCTAAACTCCGTTCCTAACCATCCATAAGAAATCCAATAAGTCGTTCGGCGTATTCAACCACACCGACTCATAAATATAAGGAGGATTTTATTTAATAACCCGTGCCCTTATTCCAAAATAGGTAGGACTTAGCAATTTCGTTTGAGCTAATTCAAACCTAGTATGACACCGTCCCATACCGGTGCATACAATCTCATCCATCCAACATTTGATATAGTACTTATAATTAAATAACAATATCAACAGTTTCATACCAAGCATACTAGAATGTATTAACAACCATTCTTAAATAATACCAATAATTAATTAACATTGAAAATATAAACATTAGTATCAACTACTCCATACAAAGCATATTAAAGCAAATTATCAAACATGCTTAATTAAATTAACAATCGATAAAATACTGACCATATAAATGTCAATACCAAGAATTCCAGACTAAGCATGCTAGAGCAAATTAACAAGCATGCTTAATTAAACCAATACAGAAACCATAACTTAATCACACAGGACTGTATATGTATTAAAACTCTATTCCCAGTTTCCGTATAATTAACAGAGCCTAAAAATATTGTCTCATTCAATTCCATGGCATGCAACATAAATATAAGTAAATTATCATACTTAAAACGTTCTGCTCAACAGATTGATGCACCGCATTCTAGAAATTTATTCACCAATTTATCTTAGGTAAACATAGATTCTGATGAGCATTGAAAAGTGCGTATTTAAACCCCTTAAGCTTAAGCATTCTAGTACATTTATCTATCTTACTTTGCCGTTTTAGATTGATTTCGTATTATTTCCATTTTCAGGCACTTATCCCGAAATTAAGCTAAGTCAGCCAAATAAGAACTTAATTGAAGCAATTCTGAGATTAAACAAAGAAAGGAGCAAAGTGGAGGAAGAAAGAAGCAAAATGAAGCAAAACAACAAGTTCGATCGATCCAAGTCCAAGGTTCGATCGATCGAACATTGATCGATCTCAGCACTTCAAGATAGATCAAAGCCTTGACCCAAAAGCACTTAAGTCTAAAAGTTCGATCGATCCAACATCATTCTTCGATCGATCGAACACCTTTGTCCTTATCCAAATGATTGATCTTATCCATAACTGTCCACCCACTAACCACCTTTGTCCTTTTCCCAAAAATATCTCCCAAAATATCTCGGATTTGTCTTTTCCCAAAAAGCTCAGCCAGTTGGATTGATCCAGCCTCAGTTCGATCGATCTCAGCCAGTTCGATCGATCCAAGTCCAAGGTTCGATCGATCGAACTTCCTCCAAGTGCAAAAAGTTAAAATTCCAGCTCATTGAAAGTTGTCCTTTATCCAATCATTGGAGAATATTATGTACACGACCCTAGCTCATTTGGGGAGTGATTTTAACCTACCTGTATAAGGATAAGGATTGTTTTTTAGTGAGGGGACACATAGGAGATAGGAGACCAATACTTAAATATTTTTTAGATATACCATCTCTAAGGCAGCTTGGAGGAGGAGGTTAGAGACACCATTGGAGATCTTCATCAACAAGGAGCAAACCTCTTCCATGGAGTTAGCCCTTGAGGGTTGGAGCATGCTCACTATGAGTGGCTAGACATCCTCTTAGGGCTAGAGTTAGCCCCAAGCATGCTTTCTATATCTTAATCTTATGTATTATTGAAGGATTAGTGTTGTAATTAATGTTTTGACACTTTGATATATATAGATCTTGTTTAATCAATGATTTGTGTGGGTTAATGCTTCCAATTGATCAGTTCATTCTATTCATATGTCTATGTATGCTAGAATAGATGTTCATGTTCTTGTCTCTAGGTTTTGTGTTGTTGATGCA